CCGGGATAGTCAATTAGCAAAAATTCGAATAAAGCAAGGCTTGTTGAATGCAAATATTATTAATAGAAGCTGGATCTTTGAAGCAGACCTGATGTTAACCTTGATTTGGAAAAATAATTTAATATGCTCAATATTGCACAAAGCAAAAGATTTTAATATAAGCATCCAACCAATTATAGATCAATAGCATTTTCAAGGAACTGGTCCATGAATTAGAGAAGTCATAGATATAGCTCTCTTTATTAAGTCATATAAGAATTTAAAAAATCTGGGTATTATATTCACTTTTAGACAAAGAGGGAAAAAGACTTCTAACATGGTAGCAGCTCAAAATAGCAAAAGGCAAAGCCAAAGTAGAGCAAAAAGTGGAGTGGTTTTCGGTTATAGAAAATATTTTGCTAGAGAATCACACAAGCAAAAAGATCAAAGAAATATATCAAACACCAGGACCAAACAATCCTGCACCAATAATGCCAACAGTGCCAATCTCATCAGACAACAGAAAAAGAGAATGGATCTTGTTAAACAAAGAAAATGTAAATTTAGAGATAAGAAAGGTGGTAAAAAAAGGCAAAAGCAAAATCCTTACAGAACACTGGTCAACAAAAGAAAATAGTTTAATGTTAGGATATATTGAAGTAGAGCAGGTTACTGAAACAACAGCACCTGAGCAGAATGAAAAATATAGTTGGATTAATCAAAACAACATATTTATAGTAATCTCAAAGCCATTACAAAAGGAGAATCAAAAGCAGATCCCTAGATACAAAGATATTCCGCCTAGTAAAATTAACAAGTGTAAGACTTTAAAACTTGGTAATGAAGAAAGGTTACTTTGTAGATTACAAAGTATGAAATCATTAGATAAATAGCTAATATTAGATTAGAATTTTAATATGGATCTAGCAAGTAATTTAGAAAATAGTTTAGATTTTAATATTGGTAGCAATAGAAATAAATTTTGGGTATATACAGATGGGTCACTAATTCGTAAGATAGATAGTTGTAGTATGGGTATTGGTCAGGTACAGGTAAATAAGAAACAAGAAAGGTCATTATGGGAGGGTTTCGTAAAATTGGAGAATTGGCCTTCATCAACAAAGCCCGAACTTATAGCAATCTGGCTAGCTCTTTTTACCATTCCAACAAATAGTAATATTTGGATCTTTTCAGACAGTTCAGTAGCGATTGCCAGTATAGAAAAAATTAAGAGAGAATGGAGATTCAACAAAATCTTCAAAGAAAAGAACTAGAATATTTTAATCAAAATAGCAGATCTTATTAAAGTGAAAGAGATTAACATAGAACTTATAAAGATCAAGGGTTATAGCAACAACAAGTGGAATGACAGAGCAGATGCTTTAGCAAAAAAGCCACATCATTATCACATATAATGAACATTTACTTGGATCTAAAAACAAGAATTTTATTTTCGCTTTTTTGGAATAATTATAGAATCAAAAAGTCAACCAGACCTACCCTTAAAAAGATCTTTGAAACCTGGAATGGTACAAACTGGCGACTAACAGAATCAATCAGAGCCATAGAACCTGAAACAGATAACCCCAAATTAGATTGGTATACATACTAGAAAAGAATTAAAAAATTAAATGGAGCTAAATATAATACGCTACAAAAAAGTAAAAAACTTGCAACATAGTTAAAATGCCTCTTAGGAAACTTACTAATGCTTAGAACCTTGATAACAAAAAGACCAGATATCTATACAAGTGGCAATTGTATAGTATGCAATAACAGTACTGTAGAAACCCAGGATCACTTGGCAGAATGTTCTTATTACAAGACAATATGGCACTGCATTGAAGACATAGCAATTGATTTAGTATGGTCCAAATTTATGAAAGAAGAAAAATATCTCTATTCAAAAAGACTTCTTTATAAGATTTTAATTGGAGTTACGAAGTCGAGAAAATTGAAAAAAGAAGGCTGTGGATTAAGGGTCTATCTACTATTGACTCTTTTGATACAATTAAGAATCTCTTAATTTTGACGAAAAAAACTGCAGATTCGATAGAACTCGCTATACATATAATCTGGAATGGTTTTTACGACTTTATATAGAAAGACAGATGCATTAAGGGTAATGAATGGGAAAAAGAGCAAAACATAAAGAAGAAGGACAAAAGAAAATCGACTAATAAAGAAAGCAGTAGATCACCTGTCTCTAGAAAAAAAAGGAATATCGGTAAAGGAAAAGGAGACGAGAAAAATATAGCATGATGCTATTTTAAGTTGGATACAAAAGGGTGTAAACCCCTTTTGGACAAGCTCTTAAGGAGAGCACTTTTCCTAGCTTATCTGTAAGCTAGTGCGATGGGTTGCACCTAGATACCTTGACAGACAACCAGGTGAAGTCAGACTTTTAAGAAATAAATGTATAAAATTAAATATACTTAAAACTAAGAGGTCAAGTCATGGCAAGACCTGTCAAAAAAATAAAATAAAAAATAAAAAAAATAAAGATTTGCAAGCAGATTTGTTTATATAAATATTATACTGTAAATACTATAATTTTTAATTTATTTTAATTATTTAAAATATTTAAATAAAGTTTAATATACTGTATATAGTATTGTAATACTAAATATATTTAAAAATAAAAAATTATATTTAAATTATTTGTAAGCTAAAAATATATTGCTTTAAAAAACTCTTTAACAACTTTTTTAAATATTGGGTTTAAAAATATATAATGTATATACTATATATATTGTATAATATACAGTATATATGTATATAATGTATATATAGTATATATATATATGTGTATAATATTAAAAATTAAGCCACGAATTACGGTAGCAACTTGAGCCACTGATGAAAACATTAGCACGTATACGTACATATCTGGTATATATATTTTGCAACAATATTATTAATACTAGTTCAATTCAAGCTAGTAAGTGAATTAAGACTTAAAATTTTAAAGATTTGAATGAATTATTCAATTAAAGTTGGTGAAACCATTGTTTGATTTATACAATTTTGGTATATCTGATTTATTAATCATTGATTTGGGAGATCATTACCAGGGCGCCATTTGAATAGATTTCGTCATTTTCTCAGGAGAGTGATTCCGTACATATACAATATGAATATCTAAAGAAAAACCTGAATTTGTGTTTGTGTAAACAGGGAGAAAAGATAACGATAAGTTTGTTCTATGAATTCCATCTGTAACCCAATATTACCGAAAAGGATAATGTGAGGAACTCTAGTTTTTGTCTGTAATAATGTTTATTTTTAATAAATAATTAGAATAGAACCTAAAGATGTGCACTTCATAATCGCATACATTCCGAGTCGGGTTTCACAAACACAGCATTCCTGATTACCTAATATTTTTTTTTTGTAATTAGAGATTTTAAAAAAGTTAAAGCACATTGTCACATCATCGCCGAATTCAAAATGGGAAATTCAGTTTGCTACGAAGATAACAAAATTCAAGACGTTATGAATAAAACAAAATTCAAGTTGCTAGAAGATAACCATCTTCAAGATGCTATGAAGACAACAATATTCAAGGCAAGAATATTTGCAGACCTATGGGACATTTATTGAAATTGAAGAATTCAAAGCTTCAGCATTCGTGAACTAAATTTAACTATTCAAAGAAAGAATAGTATTTATAATTTTAAAGTAGGAATAAAAGAAATAAGAATTATATTAATTTGCACAAAGGCTATATATTTATATGTATGATGTGGGAGATCGAACACGAAGAGACAAATAATATCGTCGAGAAAACTTTATCGTCATAGGATTTAAGCTTCCGATAGAAATTGTGCATATAATGATTCACGGAAATACAGAAATATATACCGTAGAATAGATCAGTCATACAAACCTTGTAAACCTTGTGCGACACTTGTGCTGCGGCGGGAAGTTTGTGACAGGATCTAAAAACTAAATGAATACTATAAAAGTAATATATTCGCTTTTTGTCATTCCTTTTTTATATTCATTTGACATCCCCTCTATTTATCCAACAGGCATTTTTTATAATCGAATTTCCGAATATCATGATTTTAGAGTGGGCAAATTAGATGTTTGGGTGCCAAGTTGACATCAAGGATGATGGGTGACACTTATTTTTATTTTTATTTATTTTATATATACTTTTTTTTTTTTTTTTTTGTGCCAAAAAAAAAGATTAAATCACGCCTTCAATGCTGTCTATCATTTTCTTTCTTTCAATCTCTTATTTTCATTGCCATTGCCCTCTAAAAGCTAAGCGAAAGTGTATTAACAAAAAAAGACTAGTTAAATTTTGACGGAAAAAGGTGAAAATGGTGAAATGGGCTGGAAGAGGATCAGGGGAACACGAAACATATTTAAGGATTTTTGGATAACGTAAATTTCTCGGTGAACTTCGAAATTATTTAGGAGTTATATATTTTTTTGTACAAATGAAAAGTAATGAAAAAATTGAATTATTTTACATGTTCGTTTATAACATTCAATAGAATAGTTGATACTGTTATAGACTTTTGCCTTGGTTATTTGGTTCGCCTGCCTGCCGCAGAAACAATTCAACGTCCGTAATAGGTTTTTATATTGTACCTCATTACTTCATAATACTAAATAATATTCATTAAAAAGAAATTGTACTACACTAAGTGCGTTATTCTATTTTATATAATCACCAAAATAACTAATATTGTAACTATATAATCACCTATGATATCATAAAGTACCCAAATGTATTGGAACAATTGGCCACTTTTTTTTTGAGTTTTGATCAAAAAGGTGTCGCTGTTGAAGGAAATTTTTTTTTTTTTTCTCCACAATTTTTTTTTTTGGTATCTTTGTGTTCTGGCGTAATATTTTTTTTTTTGCCTTGCTTTTATTTTCTCTATCTTGTTTCCTGTCATAGATAGATACACTTGTCTATTTTTTTTTTTTTTTTTTTTAACTTTATAATCATTACTGTTGCTAATACTTATATAAACAAACATAATAGTTAATACTGAACATAAATGGATTACAGCAGCTCAGGAGTTTACATGCAAAACCCTCAACAACATGCTCAACAAACGTCCCTTACGAATCCTACAGAATTTCATATAGCACAAAAACAACGACGTCAAGCAGCAGCTATGGACATTATTGGGAACGCTGGTTCTTCTGGAACCCCAAACAATTCTTTCAACGGTAACACGATAAACCCAAATATCTTGAACGCAGCTCCAAATCAATATTACATGAGTCATGTAAAGCAAGAGTCAGGTTCTATCGATGTTCAAGAAGTGGACTTTGATCAGCAAGCTAGTACTATCTACTCTCCAAACATGTCCCCTTCACCTGTTGGTTCCGTTGGTTCTCCTATAAACCGAAATTTTAATAATAATGGGGGGTTTGATGAGATCATGTGTCATTCCTATAAGCCTCAGAGCCATATTGATGCTTGTTTGCAATACGGCGAGTCACCGGGCAATGCTTCTCTTTGTTCTCAAAGTCAAGAAATTGAAATTCACGATCAAGGTGATCTCTCTATAAGCGCTCCCAACGTAAATGTTTTTAATCAAAATATTTTCAGACAACAACATCCAAACAATTTCGCTCCTCAATCATTACCTGTTCAACTAAGTGGAATGGGTAGCGACTTAACTCATTATCAACAAGGTACACATGCTTTACAATATTATGACTTAGAAACAACATCGGGGAGTGTCGGGGTGAGAATGTTTCAACAATTCATGGATTCTGACGAATCTGCTGAGAATGCTCAAAAACAGTATGCTTTTACTTAAATTTTTTACTTGTTTTTTTTCATTTATTTTTTCATTCATGCTATTATAAATTTATTAACAAGTTTTTCTACTTCTATTTTAGTGCAATTCTACAAGAAAAGAGACGTCGTCGTAGAGAATCACATAATGCTGGTGAGCTAAATGATTTTATATTTTCCCTTATTTCTATTTGCTTCCATTTATTTTCTTTTATTTTTCTCTAACCTTGAGAATTTTTTGTTTTTCAGTTGAACGTCGTCGAAGAGACAATATAAACGAAAAGATTCAGGAAATATCGACTCTTATACCGGATATTTTTATTGATTCCTCTAACAAACCAAATAAAGGTGTAATCCTCCGTAAAGCTGTAGAATATATTAAACACCTTCAACAGATAGTGGGCGAACAACGTGCTCATAATATGGTATTGGAAAATAGAGTAAGGGATATGAAATCCGGGATACCCATCGAAAATAATTCAGACATGAATACATCGTCACAGAGTAGCGGTCTTGGTGCTTCTCCTCAAACTTCTTCTTTGGGTAGTAATAATAATAATAATAATAATAATAATATAAGTTCATAATCTTCTGGACTTCTATCAGTTAATGATAGTCCTTGCATGTGAATAAAAGAGATGCGTGTTATTAAAAAGATTATGATTTATATTCCTTATTTTTATCATCTCGTCATTCTGTATTATCAGCCAATACTCCATTTATGTGTATTTATCTAATCTTTTTTTTTTTTTTATTGCCGGTATTTTTTTATTTGGCTTATTTTTTTTTATTTTTATTTTTTTTGTATTAAAGACAAAGGTTAATAATTGATATATGTCGTTAAAGAATCGCTAGGACAATACTTAAAGTAGTTAAGCTTTGAAGTTAAGAGAACCAAGAATTGCTGGGCAGTTGAATGGTTTATTAAATGGTTGGGTACTCGTGGAAAGGTCTTTCTTAACCAAATTGTGTCTCAGTTGTATAGTTTGATCCTTTAAAATCCCAATTACATTAACACAATAATTTACATGAAGACCTGTTCACAGCGCTTTTTTTTTTTATTATTATTATTTTATATAGTATATATATTTTTAACACACTTTACATCCATTGTATATTGAATATGATTGACATACACTTTTTTCTTTATATATTTTTTAAAGAACACTTCACTTTTTTTTTTATATGTACTATGTTTTTTTAAACGTTTTTATTTATTCTTTTTTTCATGCGTGCATCGCATGATATTTGAATATAAATATATATATAAGGTTTTGTTTTAATACGCTTTTTTTTTTTTTTTTTTTTTTTTTTGAACAAATTTCTTAAATACTAGATTCGAATGATATAACATTAACCCCATTTACGTGTTAATAATAAACTTTTTATTTTTTTTTTTTTGTTTATTTCTTTACTGGGAAATAATGAAAAAAAAAATAATGTATATATATGCGTGCGAAATCTAGAAGAATCTTTAGGTTTAATTTCAGATTATTTACATATTAATTCCCAATAAAGGCTTCAGGTTACAATTTCAGATGAACATCATTTATGTAAAGAATCATGTAAATTTATAATTTCAATAAAATTTATCCAAGAATTTATTGGTCATGAAAATCAACTCAGTCTTAAAGTAATTCGTATCTTTTAGCTATTTCTGAATATAGTATCTAATGACAACCCTGCTGACGCCATCACAAACCCAAGGAATGGTGGAGAAGGTTTTAAAGGTCGACTAAGATATTCGGGATGATATTGAGTACCAACGAAAAATGGGTGATCTAATGAAAGATATAATATTAAAATATTGAAATAAAGGGATGCTATACATTTGTGAGATTGATAATATTACCTTTAAGCTCCATTATTTCCATTCTCTCCCCCTTCTCATCACGACCTACAAAATGCATTCCTTTCTCCTCAAAATCTGGTATATATGCTGGATTTACTTCATACCTATGTCTATGACGTTCTTCAATGCGCTGTTTACCAACAGCCATGAAATCAGAGGCCTCGTAAAGTTTACCTTAATAAAAATTTTAACTAAGATTAATACAATTATTTTAAGAATGAATAATACTCAACACAAAAAATGCTATTCACATACGTGTTGTTGACCATTTTTCCGTACCGTCTTTGAATATAGTGGATCGCATACCTAATCTCATGGTTCCTCCAAGATGAGTAAGAGATACTTCAGGCATATTGATCACAATTCTATGTTTAGCATATGGTTCAAATTCTTCCGAGTTCGCATCTTTGATATATTAATTAAAACATTACATGTTCTATAAATGGTGTAAATAAGGAACATTGCATCAACATTAAAATAATTTACCTGAAAAACCGCAGACATTACGTGCAAATTCAATCACTGCTATCTGTAGTCCAAGACATATACCTATAAAGTATAAAGTAAATCATTTTTTTTGTTAGAAAGTTTGTAGGTAATATAGGTAATATGTTGCAACTTATTTACAATCGTACCTAAATACGGAATCTTCTTTTCTCTTGCCCATTTTGCCGCAGCAACTTTACCCTCCGTTCCTCTATTTCCAAATCCTCCAGGAACTAAAATACCATTAGCAGAAGACAATACATTCCAAGCCTTGCGGTACTTGTCAGGATTTATTTTTTCATATTCATGTTCTAATTCGGATGCTTCTACCCACTAATATTTTAATATAACATATGATTAACACTAACAGCCCACAAATAATACATTTAAACGATTAAAGACTTACCTTTAGTATTAATTTCCGCTCACATTTTAAGCCAGAATGTTCTAGTGCTTTAATTACAGAAAGATATGAATCTTGAAGATTAGTATATTTGCCTACTAACACGATTGTAACGGATTTATTAAGGCGGTCGTGTCTGTATATGAATTTCAAATCCAATTTATTAAAAAACATGATAAACTACGTCAATGGCATAATCATTGAATAACTAAACATACTCTTCTGTAAGTTTTGTCCATTCTTTTAATATATTTTCACCTTTGATTAACCGATCGGCGGAAATATGGATATTATTCAGACCAAGTCTTTTATGAAAGAAACTCAATACACCTTGCTCTTTCAATAAAAGAGGTACATGATAGGTTGAAAGAACATCTCGAACAGAAATAACCTAATTCATTTTGATTAAATAAGCAATTGGTAACAGATAAAAAAAAAAGCGCTGATGATCTTGACAAACTTACTTGTTCTTTTCCAACATGACAAAACATAGATATTTTTGCACGTACTTCAGGTTCTAATGCTTTACAGCAGCGACATGCAATCTATAAATTCATGTGACGTTTTAATTCATATTTTGTTACAAAAATATTCTAGTCTTATTGCTACTGTTACCTACCAAGTCTGGAGATAATCCCAAAGCCCTTAATTCTCTGATGGTAGTCTGAGTAGGTTTGGTCTTTTGTTCTCCACCCGGTCCAATGACAGGTACCAATGAAACGTGTGCCAAAGCGAAATTTGCATGTCCCACTCGAAATTGAAATTGACGCATGGCTTCTACAAATGGTGCAGACTCTATATCACCAACGGTACCGCCAAGCTACAAAATATCAATTAGACATGTCGTTGTTTATGAACGTTTTATGAATCAAATTAATGTATGAAAAATATTTAATTTACTTCAATGATGCAAACATCAGGTTCTTCACCACTGTGATCAACTGATATCATAGCTACTCGTTCGATCCATTCTTGAATCGCGTCAGTAATGTGAGGGACCTAGCATATAATGAGTGATATAAACGACTCCAATCTTTATTGTGTTTATGTCTTCTGAATAATTGTACTTTACCACTTGAACTGTTTTGCCCAAGTATTCCCCTTTACGCTATTATATTATAACGGAAACTCGTGACATCAATTCTATCATATCTTCTTAATAATATATTATTATTTTGAACATTATCAAACCTCCTTCTGGATAACTTGTTGATAAATCTTTCCTGTAGTAATATTATTATCTCTAGTAAGAGTTACGTCCAAAAAACGTTCATAGTTGCCTAAATCAAGATCAACTTCTCCACCATCATTTAACACAAAAACCTCCCCTATTAAAGATATTCGACCATTAAAATGTTTTATAAAAGTAATCACATGATAAATGCAAACTTTATAGTATTAGAACTAACCATGTTCAATAGGGCTCATAGTCCCTGCATCGATATTCATGTAAGGATCTATTTTTATAGCAGTAACTCTTAACCCAATGGTTTTTAATAAAACTCCTAAGGAAGAGGCAAATATGCCTTTTCCTATACCCGAAATAACACCACCAGATACTAAAATATATTTCATATTGTAACAAAATATTATCGTTAGAAACTTTTATTTTTCGACTTTGCGGCCCAATTTGTCGTAAAGACAATTGGGAAAGAAATCTGTTTTTGTGATTAAAACTATTAAATAATTTTTTTTTTTTTTTGCCAATGGCACGCGATCGCGTATCATTTCTTCACATGATATGTACAATCACATGACTCTCGGCACAATTTTCAATGATCAACAGCAAAACAAACAAATTCAACAGGTTTGCACTTTAATTTAAACATGAACTTTTAGCCGGAATAGACGCTAAATTGATCTCCGTTGATTTTAGCGTTAGAGAAAAAAAAAATTTTTATTGAAATTTAGTTACAGTATATTTACGTAATTAAAATATTTGAATCTAATAAATAATTAAAAATGCACTCTTTGGCCCATAACAATAATCCCCAACTGCAGCACTATTTTCAATTACAACAAGCAGCAACTTCTGCTTTGGCTACTCCGAACCAACTAAACGTTGGGGGAGCAACGAATTTAAGTTCTCAACTTCATGCTCCAAGTCTACTTGGACTACCTATTGGAGGTGATCCTTGGGGTACTGGTGCAGGCGGTCCGATACCTTTACCGATGCATCAGCAGAAATTAGCTCAGTTAGAAGAAGAAAAGATTTACTCCCTAATCACGGAATTGACAAATCCTGCAAACCGAGAACAAGCTCTGGTGGAATTGAGCAAAAAGCGAGAGCAATACGATGATTTAGCTTTGATATTATGGCATTCTTTTGGTATTATCGATTTATCGATCTAATCATTTATCGCTAAATGTGTATGAAATGATCGCTTATGTATTCATAAAACAAATAGGTGTAATGGCGGCATTGTTGCAAGAGATCGTTTCTGTATATCCTCTTCTTTCACCTCCTGCGCTTTCTGGTCAAATATCTAATCGTGTTTGCAACGCATTGGCATTATTTCAATGTGTTGCAAGTCACAGTGAAACCCGAGGACTATTCCTAAATGGTTTGTATCTTATAATCTTTTATTTTTCTATTTTTATTTTTTATTTTTATTTCTATTTTTATTTTCTGCTCATTATTATATTACCAAATTATATGCAAGAGTATTTAATTTTAATTCTGTATACATTTTTTCATGTAGCCCACATTCCTTTGTTTTTATACCCATTTCTTAATACGACGAGTAAGACAAGGCCATTCGAATATCTTAGACTAACAAGTCTGGGTGTTATTGGTGCACTTGTTAAGGTTTGTATCCAATATCATTTTAAGAATAGTATTAAGTATAAAAATTTTAAATGTTTCTAAAACCTGAACTTCTTAAAGAATGACAATCCAGAAGTGATTTCATTTTTACTGTCCACTGAGATCATACCGTTATGTCTACGTATAATGGAAACTGGTAGCGAACTATCCAAAACGGTACGTACTAATATGCGCCAAGATCTTCAACAAGCGTCACAAATCAAATCAAATTTTTTTTTCTTTTTTATTATTAGGTGGCCATATTTATTGTTCAGAAAATTTTGTTGGATGATATGGGCCTGGCATATATTTGTGCTACTTATGAACGATTTTACGCTGTAGGAACTGTTTTGAGCAACATGGTCAATCAACTCGTTGAAACACAAGCTGTACGTTTGTTGAAACATGTCGTTCGCTGTTATCTTCGCCTTTCGGACAATCCGAGGTAACTATGATTGTTATTAAATTTGTATTAATGTTTATGGAGTTCTAAATATTACTTTAAAATTTACAGAGCGCGAGAAGCCCTCCGTCAATGCTTACCAGAACCTCTCCGCGATGCCACGTTTTCGCAAGTCCTCAAAGATGATATAGTCACCAAGCGATGTTTGGCTGCACTTCTTGTCAATCTGTCAGACAACGTCGTCACTACAAATTAATGGATACACTAATAATTATACTAATTAGCCTTCTATTATCGGGTTGTATATTTTCTCATAGTCAATTTTAATATTTTATTATACACAAAAAAAAAAATTTTTTTTTATCACAATATGTATTTATATTTCTAAATTTAGTTTTATTCAAGAAAACGCCATTGTGCCATTAATCTCCCATTTGCTTTTCGCTCGATTTGGTGGTCTATTGTTCTTGGATATTTTATTGGCATTTCTCTCTTGATTGCATTTGGGTTACTTTCATTACAAGTTGTCATCTTAGATCTTCATCTGTTTTCTATAGAATTATATATATGAAACAATCACACTAATTGGCATCTCTTGCCAAACTTGTAAAAAAAGAAAAATATATAACATAGTAAACATATATATTATACTAGGTTTCCATTCTATGGTGGGTAGTCGGACTTATCTTTTTTTTGAGTTAGAATTTATTGCGTTTTTTCTTAAATTTTATTTGACAGTAATGTATATCAGTTTATATAATGGTGGGAAAGGAAACTATGGTTAAATAATATATAGTATATATTATATATATAATAATGAACATCAAAGAAAAGAGTAAATACAATTATAGATTATGCTTAATTTATTCATAGTTATTGAACGCAATTTTAATTTAATAAATTTATTGTAGCATTTACGATTTGCTTAAGTAAAAATTTAAAGTTTAGCCTTTGGGACAAAAATCTCTAAACACTAACTACGATAATCAAGTATATGAAAAGAAATCAGCCTTGAAGTTCTTTTTAAACCCTATCAGGAACAATGCACCATAATTCCGATGCAAACTAACGCAACCTTACCACATACTGTGTATTGTAAAAATTGGTAAGTTTTGTAATAGAGTTTCTTATGATTACTCATGATTAAAAATACTAAATAAGACAAGTAGCGCAGAATGCCACCTATTGCAGTGTATCTTTATTCAGTTGCCAAGATTGGTACCGTCGGTATTAATTTTTATATATAGCCTTCTAGAAATAATACATTAATATAGCCAATATCTAAAAAAAAAAATTGGCTTCCGTATTCTTTTTTTAGTATACAAATAACTTTTAAAATTTTGTTTTTTATAATTAATGTTACAACCCTTTTTTTTTATAATTTTATTAATTTTATTAATAGCTGAGTGTATATGTCATTTTTATATTATGAGAATACAACTAGCCATATGTATAACTTTTGGTTATTTAATTTAAGTAGTTCGAAGGTTCTATACTAGCAGCTATATCTATAGCCTAACTAGAAAGCTATTTATTTAAATCCTCTTATTTTTATATTCATTCTATATTTTTATATTTAATTATTTTTATTTTAAGGTTCTTTATTCTTGTGTTAAATTTATTAAAATAGTATTATGTTTTACATATATAGGGTCTTTGCCTTGAAAATGATCTTACAGAACTATGTAGATTTTATAAATAAATCTAGTAATCCAACTCAAATAACTTTTTTTATTTTATAAAGCTTAGTGAGTTTTATAAAATAAAAAAAAGATTATTTGAACTAGGTTATTAGGCCATATAAAGTTAATTAATTGTTTCTTATAACCCAGTCAGATTAGCTTTTATAAATTATTACCATATTACTACAAAATAATGTGCACCTGTGTGTGTTTCAATCACCTGTGCACTATTTTGAGGTAGCCCGATTTTTTTAAATATATATGTATAAGATGTTCAAAATAGCACCCATGTGCAGTATATAAATATTTATTCGAAAACCAAAAAACCTCAATAGAGAAATATATAACTTAATGGCAAATAATTTTTTAAATTATATAAATACAAGTAGTTATCCTGTATGTACATATGTACTGGCATTAACCTTAATATATATTGTAACATAGAGAACCTAGGTTGGTTAACTATATTACTTGACTTAACGTGTAGAGGGTAAGGAATGTGTAGAAGGACAGAATAAACTAATACAAGAACTAAAACAAAATATGGGATAAAACACAAGAAATCTAAAAGAGAATACTCAAGAATGATAATAAAGCAA